ATTTTTATGAATAATATAAAATAATATTAAAAGTATTAAGATAAATTTTTTTTAATATTTATACAACATAAAAGTAGCACATTCAAAAAGAGATGTCTCGGTGGCGCAGGTGATCTGACCTTGTAGACTTATCTGAAACAAAAGATTTGAATATATTCTTAATTAGTACGAGTATTGCTGTCGCCGGAACTAGAATAAATAATTGATGTTGAAAATTAACAAAATGTGTAAAAAGTATGATAAACTCAATATAAAAACATAATTCTAGTTGCGGCCAAAGCTACTGGTATATAGAATACCTGTTAAAATTTCAGTGCAGTCGGTTGAATACTTATTGAAATTTCACCTGTCCTCGGTGAAAATAAAAAAATAATAAAGCGGTCAGTCAAAAACCTTAAAAAGTTGAATTTATCACCTATTTTGTGCTGCGTTGATCTTTTCAAAGAAAAGAGTTACATCATAAGAGCAAATATTTTATGAAATATTTTATTACATAATGAAGAAATATTTTTTAATACACCAAAAGGAAAAATTTTAAATATCTCGAAACGAAAAATATACGACTTAGGCCACTTTCATAATCACCGGCACATTTCTGTCATTTCGTTAGTTCACATTCTTTTCCTCGAGTCGTTCAGAAAGTCCAGAAAGTTGCTTGTCGTGCGAAAGCGTGCATTTGAATCAGTGCACCTCATTAGTCGCGGCGACTGGCTGGCCGACCGTTCATCGCTCGTATTTTCATAGTCGCCGGCGACTTGGTAGTTACATCGACTCCGTGCGTAAGCTCTCTAACTGTAAACATGATCAGACGTGTTGTTACACGTCTGCGCATAAATTCATTGAATATAGAGGGTGGGTTCCAGCTATGGTAGTCGAGAAATTTTTTATATGTAATTTAAATGTTTTTAAAGGGTGAATAAAATGAAAGAAAAATTTGTTTAATGTAAGAAAAAATGGTAAAAAAAATGAAAGAAGTTTCACATTTGATTTAAAATTTTGGAGTCCAGGGTCATTTTAAGGTTATGTTATTATGCACGTTTAAATGTACATCAATATCTGTTACAATATACAGTAGAAAAAGATATATATGTACATTCTTGTAAAAAAAACATAGGTAATTTTGAAAAAAATGGCATTTATAAAAACATTTTTGGTCCAGCTGATTTATCCCTTGAAACCATTTAAATTACGTATAAAAATTTTCTCGTACCACCATAGCTAGAGAAGATAATTAGGTGGCCTTTTTTACGTGGCCCACCCTGTATAAGGTATATGGAGGCACCATTATACTCTTCTTTCATTTCTAACAATCTGATACAACAAAATTGTATATAATACGAGACTAAAAATAAATCACCGAGGCTGTCTGTATATCCAATTGACTCTATAAGCTAAATTGTAGTTTTTCTCTGTATGATATTCGTCGAACAGACATCGGACGATTCATAAAAATAACAGCGTACTAAAGCATACATATGTATGTATACTTTAAAAATACGTTAATCATTTCATTTTTAGCGCTTTTCCAAATTAGAACTTCTAATTTTTTAAGTTAAATGTAAGGTGATTTATTAGAGGACTTTTTTTTTATTGGTCTCAAAAAAAATTCCACGTAGAGAGGACTTTAACCTCGAAATTTACAATTTATCTATTCTTTAATTTTCGGTAATAACACACGTAGAATTTTCTACAATAATTAACAATAATTAACTACATTAACACTTAATAACAATTCGATATAAAATTATAAAATGATATTCATAAATTGTTCTGACGAATTCAATAATAAACGACAAATTGCGAACATTAGAGCACAGGAGAACAGATATTTCACGTGTAGAGTATTAAAAATCAGATAAAAAAACAAAAATGAAAATGTGTCTTTTCCAAAATTAACGTCAATCGGGTGGAAACGTTTCTCCGATTTAATGGGTGTTTATTCGTATGGCGTTTACCCATTCAAACAGATTAACAGCTTAGGACAAATGCA